CAGGTGCTGTGTGGTCTCGTGTGAGGGTGCTTCCTCCAATCCCATCGTAGCCTTCTCGGGCGTGCCCGAAGTTAGTATTTTAGGACCTTTACTTTTTGTTCTTTTTATCAATGATATATGTAGTTGTTTTTCATCCTCACTGTTTTTGCTATATGCTGACGACCTGAAAATTTTTTCCGCGGTCAAAGAATATGAAGACGCATTACGGCTTCAAGAAGAAGTTAATAAATTATATCTGTGGTGTCGTGGATCTCGTCTCTATTTTAATATTAATAAGTGTTACCACCTAACGTACTCCAAAGTTCGAAACGTGATTCCCACATCATATAGTATTTCTGGTACCGTCCTTCAGGCAGTGGATGAGATTAAAGACCTAGGTGTGATTTTTGATTGCTCGTTTACCTTTAATAAGTACATTGACTTCATTATATCCAAATCATATGCTGCTCTGGGATTTGTGCGCCGAAATAGCTCCAACTTTTCTGATCCCTACACTCTGAAATTGCTGTACACATCATTCGTTCGCTCTAAGCTTGCATATGCGGCCTTTATCTGGAGACCGCATCAAAAATTTGCTATTGATAGAATCGAGCGTATTCTAAAGCTCTTTCTAAAATATGCCCTTAGTTCCTTAAAATTCTCAGATCCCATCCCTTCCTACCATTCCCGTCTCCTCTTACTTAATCTAAAGTCCCTTGAGGCCAGAAGGACTGTTCTATCTCTTTCTTTTGTGTTTGGGGTGATTAATGTAATGGGAGTTATCATAGGCCCTCTAACCCACATAATAAATCATTGTTTTACAACTTCTTTTTTTCCCAGCAATTTGGAAAAAAGCTATTATACTGGCAGTTGCGAAAAAGATGAATGCTTGCAGTTTGAGTGACTATAGGCCTATAAGCATATTGCCTGCCTGCTCTAAGGCTTGTGAAAGCTTGTGGCGAAACAAATTTCGGCATTCGTGCAAAAGAAAAATCTACTCTCCTCATTACAATCCGGGTTCAGGCAAAATCATAGTTGCTCGACTGCAATGACTAAAATACTCGATGATATAAGAACTAACTTTGACAATGGTGACTTGACTCTTCTCTGTTTACTAGACTTCTGGAAAGCTTTCGACTCTGTGGATCATAACTTGCTCTGTCTTAAGCTGGAACATTATTTTGGTTTCAGTAGAAGTTCAATAAAACTCATGATCAGCTACCTTAAGGATAGAACACAGAACGTCAAGTCAAGTAATTCAATTTCAAATTCAAGATATGTAAATACAGGTGTCCCACAAGGTTTTGTCCTTGGTCCGCTTTTATTCAGTCTCTTTGTCAATGATGTTTTTTCTAAGTGTCAGTATGTGAATGTGCATGCGTATGCTGACGACGTACGATTGTATTTGTCGTATTGGTCTAGTTGAAGATTTATGTTTCAAAATAAACAGTAGGGCTATTCGCAATTCGGTGCATAAGAGCTGACAAATTTATGCAATTGCAGAAATATGCCATGGATTGTGAGCGGCCTTTATTAAACTGTCATGGTAAAGCTTTTGCAAAACAATTTTTGTGCATCAGCTTTGGTTTTGTTTATGAATGCAATGCATAGCATTTTTATGCTATGGATTTACGGTATTGCAAATTTGCCAAGCCATGACAAATGCAAATGCGTGTATTTTGTTTGTGTATTGCAAATAATTTGCAATACAAATTTGCAATGCAATGATGCTAGACCATTTGCACCGGATCGCGAATAGCCCTAGTGACTTGTCTGCAATATCTGCTTGAGCTAGTGATAACTCTTTGTGTTTAAATGTGTCAAAGTCATACGTCTTGCCTATATATAACAATGTAGTATATGTTGAAAATATTCCCAAATTGTGGATAGGTTCTAGTTCGCTAAGTTTTACGGAAAAGGTAAACAATTTAGGTTTCATTGTTAATACAAAACTTACGTGTACTGACCATGTAAATAAGATGGTAGGAAACGTGTATGCCATACTGCGCAAATTAAGGGT